TGTTGTAGTGGGGTTGGGAAAAAGGAAAAGGAGATGTAGTTGGAGAAGCATAATATAGCGAAAGGAACAAAAACAGGGCTAAAATCGAGTTGATTGAATTTGGAACAAAGAAAGGTTATTCTCGGGGTTATAAAAGTGAATGATGTTTACTAAATGAGGAAAACTAAAGACAAAGTTACCAAGGACTTGTGTAAAAACAAACTATATATATTTTTAGGTCTTCTCTTTTTGGTTGGTTTTCATTTACTTTGCATGGTATTTGGTGTGGCACTTTTTGTGCATCTTTACTTTAAAAAACAATGCAGAAAGTGGTTTTCCATCTATATGATTATCATGAACTCATATGATGTTCAACTAGTGAAGGTTAAATGACATCCCAGAAAGAGGCATTCAACACAAAGTGGACCGAGTCTTTAACCAACTTGTATGTCAGTTTGTTGGTAGAAGAGGTCAAAAAGGGAAATCGCACCTCTTCTACTTACAACAAAGCAGGGTGGACTAACATACGGACTGAATTTAATAAACGGTCAGGACTCCAATATAATCAAGTGCAGTTGAAGAACAAGGTGGACAAACTGAGAAAACAATATGGTAGTTTTAATAAGCTTCTTTCACCATCCAGATTTGGCTGGGATAATCTAAACAAAACAGTTGTTGTTGATGATCCAAGTATATGGGAACGTCATGTCAAGGTATCATTTAATCTTTGATCATTTTAAAATCACTGTACGTGTACATGGCAAGAGGTTTCATTGTCTTGCTGACGTATGATGAAAATTGTAAGATAATAGTGAGTGGGCAAAATTCAAGAAGGATGGGTTTCCTCAGTATCCCGACTTGTGTCTTGTATTTGGTGATACATATGCTACTAGGGAGCATGCAGTAGGAAATGCCAAAGATTTGATGGTGTCGGACGAAGGTGACACTAGTGGTGGTGATGCAGACGGTGGTCGAGAGGATGTAAGTGAACACCATATTGATGAGGGAGTATTTACATCTGACAAAACTGCTACTCAAGTTCATGATAAGCACAAGTTGGATAAGACTCCAAATACCAAGAGGAGAAGACAGAGTCACGTAAATGTTATTAGTAGCACCTACAAAGCCCTATAAGATTTGATCAAAATTAGGGCAAGTCAATCCGTGTCTGGTTTTGTCACCTCACAGGTCGCATCACCACCTGTAGACCCCTACTCTATAGCTGCTGTGATTGGAGTCCTGGTAAGCATGCCTGAGTTGGAGCAGGATCTTTATAACAAGTCAGTGGAACGAGCTTGCGTTAGTGCCGCATGGAGGGAGGCTTTCATCTTATCACCGGTTGAAAGGAGAAATGGACTTCTCCAATGTCTTTAGTAGATGTTGGGAAATGTACTGTGAATTACATGGGGTTTCATTGACTGTATGACTTATCTTGTTGGTTTTTATTTGGTTTTTTAAGGTTTTGGATGTTCAGACTCTTGCATTTGTATGGTGGCTTGGGTACGATAGATTGTATGCGATTTTTATATTTTGTTTGTTTCACTTTATGACTTATGTTATTTGTTATTAGTGGGTATTTTTTTCATATATCTATATTGATATTCTTGTATTTGTGTAATGGCATAGGTACTATGGAAGGGGGACAAAATAGTATGTCCAATGGGCAGGTAGCACAAGTTGAACAGGTTTTGGATGACATTGATATTGACGTAATGATAACATGGTTGAATATTCTTGCAGTGGACATGTCTGTTCATACGAAAGAACCTATTAGGGACAGTAAATTGTCAGGACCCGAATGGGTAAGGGAGATTGTTTATGGACATTCAGATAGGATATATGAAGCCTTCAGGATGGAGAGACATGTTTTTCTGAACCTATGTAGTTTAATGAGCGCAAGAGGTTGGTTGAAAGATAGTCGATATATAAAGGTAGATGAACAAGTTGGGATATTTTTATCTTTGATTGGTCACAAAAACTCCGACGAAGATTTATGTGAGAGATTTCAACGTTCGGAAGTAACAATAAGCAAGTATTTCAATATAGTGTTGAAAGCAGTTATCAAACTGTCAAATGAGGTTATCAAACCACCTTCCTTTAATGTTTTCCAAGAGGAGATTCTTATGGATCCTAACCATAAATGCTATTTCAAGGTATGATTTTCATATTAATTATACACAATCAAATACATGTAGTTGATAATCATGTGTAACACTAGACTTTCATAAAATCTCAGGGCTGCGTAGGTGCTATTGATGGCGCTCACATTAATGCTTCCATCCCTATGTCGCAGCAAATCCCACTATGTCGCAGCAAATCCCATTTAGAGGTAGGAAAGGAAGTATCACACAGAATGTGATGTGTGCTTGTTCGTTTGATATGAAATTTACTTTCGTGTATGCTGGGTGGGAAGGATCTGCCAACGATTATTGGGTGCTCTCAGCAGCACTTGAGACTCCTCGACTGCAATTTCCTCGACCACCACTCGGTATTTTCGTTGTCTACAAAATATAATTTTCTTTATGATTGTATAACGGTTGCATATCATAACAAATTTATGTGTACCTTCTTATAGGCAAATATTATGTGGTAGATTCTCGTTATGCAGCACTTCTAGGATTTTTAACTCCGTTTAAAGGTGAACGGTATCATTTGAACGATTATAGGGGTAGAGAGAGACGGCCCAGAACAGCGAAAGAATTGTTCAACCATAGGTACTCTTCACTCAGGAATATCATTGAGAGGTCATTTGGAGCATTAAAGAATCGCTTCTTCATTTTGAGACACGTGCCTCCATTTTCAATTCGAAAGCAAGCACTTATTATAATTGCTTGTTGTGCTCTCCATAATTACATTCGTGAGGAAGACAAGATGGACAAAAACTTTTTCCTATATGGAGATCCGGAGTACCCGTTCGGACCTACACAAATGGAGGTTGCAGACGATACATCACTTACGGGGGTAGCTGAGATAAACATGATTAGGAAAAATATTGCAAATAAAATGGCAAGGGATCACAATATGGATGAGATTCCATGACTTTGTATTTTCAACTTTTGTGATGTCTTTGTAAACTATTATGAATACATTTCTGTTAATCGTATTAAGGTCATCCATAACTTTTGTAATGTGTTTGTAAACTATTATGGATACATTTTTGTTAATCGTATTAAGGTCATCCGATTTTATATCATATATATTATGATTTTATTTGTTAGGCCATGCCACTCTCATAATGACCCCATAAAGGTATTTTTTTTAAACGTAAAAATCATGAGTTTATGAATGTTGAAGTGATTAAAAAATACCAAAGAAGTTGTCTTCTTCAAAAACTTTAAGTAGATAATCATATGAAAAAATTAAGAACAAATTTTTTTTTTATTTCAGGAATAGAAATTTTGTACAGTTACTAAACGAATTTTTTTGCTCAGAAACTGTTCCAGGAAATAGAAATAGAAAAAAACTATTTCTGATCATAAATTATTTTTAGGAACAGAAACGTTGCTAAACAGACCCTTTGTGGTAACCTAAAGGTTTGATATGCATACCTAATCCCAGTAATACCTCTCCCATTATGTACAGTCATAAATTGATACTGTGATGTTAAAGAAGTATCTCTTGTATCTCTATTTCTTGATGGGCTTATGGTTCTTGAGTCATATTCTTGGCTGCCATTATCTCAATTTTCTTTTTGATGCTACCTGGAAGATATTGTCTAATAAGTGGGTCCGCGACCATTCATATATTTCTGTGATTCGGAGAGCTGCACTTTGGGGTTTTCCGCCGATTAGGGATTTGCAATTGGGGGCCTTTTTTGTCTGAGTTTTTGTAACATTGGAGCAAAGGACATCATTTTCTAAGCAAAACGGAGTCTCTTTCAAAATATATGTCCACGTTGTTATAATATCAATAATATCTTCAAGTCCTTTAGAATTTTCTAACACACGTTAGACTGCCGATTGTGATGTGTAAGACGGCTGGCAGCAACTAGATTGCCGAGTTTCAAGCAAACTTGGCTGGAGGACTTGATTGCATATTCACTCAAAGTTATGTGATCAAGTCATGATGATACACAACATGTTAACATGTTATGATGCAATATTATATGACAATATAGTTGGTCAAAGTCATGTTATTGTAATATAGTTGTTGGTTCATAACATCCAATCACTAATGACACACCCCTTACTGATATAAGTGAAGATATTGACTAAAATAATAAGAAAAAAAAGAATGTCAACATGAAATAAAAAGTTTAACAGAGAAAAAGTATAGAAGGGAAAAAAAATGTCGCAGTATAATTATTCGATTGTGGAGAACCCGATGACGGAAACATCTAGACACTAAAAATTATTAATCTAAGGACAGAGATAAAAGTGACTCGGGTGAAGGGTGATGATTAAGTAATCTTTAGACAGGATGTGGCATATCGAAATCTACCTTTTTTTAGAGAAATCTCTTGGGAAAAAGATCAGATTGTGGATTAAAAACAATATACTTTCCAGTTTCCATATTTGAATATCAACTGTCTTACAAACAAGTCTTATATAATCTGGGCCTGGCCTCTGAGATGTATCTATTATTGACTAGTGGATTAGCACGAGGAGCATGTTTGTACCGGGTGGTCAGATTTCCATTCTATTTTTTTCTTATTAATAGAAAAGGCAAGTGTTAGTTAAGTCAAGTCGTGCTGGATCTCTCAAGTATCTATCAAAGCACCGCAAAATTTCCACGCACCTTCCGCATAATGCCGTGGAAATTACGCGTAATACTCAAAAATATCAGTAGAGCACCTGCGGGTTTGCTCCTGTCCTGATAAAACACGGATTTGATCCAGAAAAAGACAATTAAATTAATGTACCTGCAAAATTTCCATCGCTCGTTGGTTTTCTTTTCTATTTTTTGTTTATTAATGGAAACAGCAAGTCAAGTCAAGAAGCAACCGCGTGGGTTCCACGCACCTCCAGTGATTGTCCTTTCCTTGCAGCATGCATGCATCGCAGCGATTGGATTAGCATAAAGGGTCTTGGATCGGTAGATGGCAAGTACTACCCATCAGCCAAGACCGCACGGCTGAGAGTGTTGTGTGGGGGTAAACCAAAGTCGAAAGGCTGAGAATGGGCGGAGATCACAGCAGGTGGAGAAAGTGGGTGGGTTGTGTGTAGAGTCAGCACTCCTCAGGTAATCGATACTCCTTGCTCTTCTCTTCTCTTCTTTGGTTCCTGTTTTGAGTGCTCCATTTTCTTCTGATTAAGGTGTGTGAGAATTCTTTTGTTTTTTGTTTGAATTGATGTCGCTCTGAATTGGGTTCTGAGAGACATTCTTGCAATTAGCAGATCTCTGGACAGTGAAATCTTGCTTTCTTTTAGGGCTATGCTCGATCAATCTCCTAATCCCTGCGTGATGAATTCGGAAGAACAGAATTTCGAGGCGTCTTCCTCATCGACCCCTCCGCATGGAGGAGATAATGAAGGCGGAGATGAACAGAAGAGAGGGATTGACTACGAAGTGTTTTTGAGTTTTAGAGGGACAGACACTCGTACAGGCTTTACTGATCATCTCTATACAAACCTTATAGAAGCAGGAATTCACGTGTTCAGAGACGATGATGAGCTCCGAGTTGGTGACGAGATTGGTCCAGAGCTTATCTCTAGTATTACGCAATCTAAGATCTCGATTCCAATTATCTCGGAAAACTACGCTTCGAGCAAATGGTGCCTCCGTGAGCTAGCTCAAATATTGAAGTGCAAGAGAGGCAGAGGGCAAATAGTGTTGCCCATATTTTACAAAGTGGAACCTTCACAAGTGCGACATCTTACGGGGGGATTGAGAGATGCTATCAATGCACATAAAAAGAATTTAGACAAAATGATTGTGAAGGAATGGGAAGAAGCACTCAGAGAAGTTAGTTCCTTGAAAGGATGGGAATCAGAGAAAATTGATAACGGGTACGTTATTTTCCTCCAATACATTGTTTACTTTTTCATACATAGATCTTACTTGAAAATGAATATAAATATTGCCATCATATATCAAAATTTATATTTTCATTTGACAGGCATGAAGCAATATTAGTTAAAATGGTTGTTGGAAGAGTTATGAGTGAGTTAAAAAGACTTTTTCAACTAAATGTTCCCGAACAGTTGGTGGGAATTGACGATCATGTAGAACAGATTATGAGCAAGATGGACTCTAAATTCAATGGTACATGGATTATCGGAATCTATGGAATGGGCGGCATCGGTAAGACAACTCTTGCAAAAGTATTATACAACAAACTCTCTAGTCAGTTTGAGGGTCGTAGCTTTGTGGCAAATATTCGAGAAACATCTCAGCGTGAGGGTATTAAATTCCTACAAATGCAACTCATTTCTTCTATAACAAGGAAACCGTGTGACGTGTCTAATGTTGATGAGGGAATCGGTATCATTAAATCCCAATTTACAAGTAAGAAATGCCTCATTCTTCTTGATGATATGGATGATAATACTCAATTGAAAGCTTTGGCTAGAGACGGCAGTTGGTTTAAAGCTGGAAGTATAGTCATCATAACAACTAGAAACAAGAGTATTCTTGACGAGGCTAGGGCAAGCTACATGTACCAACTCAACGAATTGCCTTTGGATCAATCATTGATCTTATTTAGTCGACATGCATTTGGAGAGGATTCTCCTCCGAGTGATTATGAGGTTTTATCTCATGATGTCGTATCTACTACTGGAGGTCTTCCCTTAGCTCTTGAAATTATAGGTTCATCCTTATGTGGAAAGGCAATAGAAGCATGGAAAGATGCATCAAAGAAATTGAAGAACGTGCTTGATAAGAAAGTGCAAGAGTCATTGAGGATTAGCTACGATGCATTAGATGAAGAGGTCCAACAAATATTTTTGGATATTGCATGTTTTTTTAATGGATCATCTAAACAAATTCCGACTTATATGTGGGATGCCTGTAACTTTTTCCCGGGGAAGGGGATAGAAGCATTAAGTCTTATGTCCCTAATCAAAATTGACAAGGACGGCAAAATAATGATGCATGATCAACTAAGAGATCTCGGAAGAGAAATTGTTCGTCTGGAAAATCAAGAGAAGCCTCAAAAGCGTAGCAGATTATGGAATAAGGAGGAAGCCGAAGATGTGCTTGACAACAACAAGGTAAGAGTTTTCTCTACTTGTCTTAGTCGATGAATGTGAGGCCACCTTCTCTTTCTTGTTTGAAATAAAAATTATAGTCAATCCCAAGTCCCCAAAGCTTACCATTTCTACTAGCAAATGAGCTCTTTCGATTAATTGTTGTCATTGCCTAATCTTAGGACATAATTGAGGAGCAATTTCTTGGTTATTGATGATACAAGTGTTGTGATGAGGACACTCTCCTTTAGTAACTTCAATGGAACAACAAAACTACAAAAACATAATTTGTGACAAAGAACTTTTAGAGAAAACTTGACATTTATAATGTGTCAGAGTTCATGCTTTTCCCATGCATCTGTTTGATGCACATATTTGATGTTTGGATTCTTTCTTTTGATTTCTTGTGAGGTGTTCTCTTCCTATTTTTTTACCGAGTATTGACTTCTGTTGTCACGATTAGCAATCTTGGTTCCTGTTTTATTCAAGTTGGGTTAAATACAGATTTAGTACCTTAAGTATCACCGTTTGCGCCCCTATCTTTTTTTTTTTTTTTGCTCAAGGTAGTCTGATCAGATTGAGTTAATCACATATTTACATTCTAATTAATCCTGGAAAATTACGAGATATTACATTACAGTAGAAAATGCGAAGTAAATATTAAATATCGTGCATAGCACAAAACTTCTACTACCATAACGGTCTACAGCACTAGAAAAGTATAGAATGTAAACATTATTTTCATGCAATATAAAAGAAGACGTTGTATCGGTTGTCTAAGACAAGTAGAGAAAAAAAGGAACCAAGATTGAAGAAAGGAGTAAAAAAAAAAGAAAAAATATTATTAAAAATTGTCCACGTTAGTGCCGGTGGTACCACGTAGACCGGCCGGCATCCACGTCAGCCATATCTGGCCAAGATTAGCCGAAAAGATTGAATTGGCACAAAGACAAAAGGTTTAGGACTCAATTGGCACCAAAAAAAGGTTTATGACTAAATTGGCACCAATGCAAAATGTTGAGGACTTTTCTAACACTTTTCCCCAAAGATGGAGGTGTTTGATGAATACCCATGTTCTAATAATGAACCTCTAACTAGCCTTAATATGATAATTTTGAAAACATTAGTGGCTATTTTATGACGCGTGGGCAAATTTGAAACTAGCATGAAAATTGGAGATTTCTTTTTAGACAAAAAAAAAGTTCGGGCAAAATTGAATTGAACCTAAAGCTGGAGGTTTTTTTAGAGAATTAGATCAATCAGTATAACTTATATCACCAAGAGTAAAGAAAGAAAGCAACAAAACATAGAGTATGTTCGGTAAAAAGAAAAAAAGTCATCAATTAACTACGCCACTGAAAATGCAAAGAGTAGTGTCTGGTCCAAGCATATTTCTTCCTACAGAGGTATCTATTCATCATAATATGAATAATACTATTTGTTAAATGTCGTTTCTTGGAGACAAATGTCTTTCCATGCAATAATATAGAAAATGACACAAATCGTGGGGTCCTACTATCTTGAATTTGAGAAAGAAGAGAATCGTAAGTCGCATAACAAACGAACCAAATCAAAAATCAATTGAGTCTACCTTATCCTTGAAAATGTGAAAACTGATGCATATTTAAATGCACTATTTTGAATAGAAGTGTTGGTTACTGAGAATATGTTTAAAAGCTCTATTCATCTATGTTATTTAAAACATATATGGCTCTTTCTTGATAGAGAATCATAAACGTTTATATTTTAGTGATCACATAATACTACCTTTACAATTTCTTTGGAATTCAAAACCATATGCTTACATAGAAGTAATATTGACTAAATATATATATGCACACACACAATTTTTTAATCCAATCGACAAATTTAGGATAAGAAATAATGTTGATCCTAAATTTTTTAAAATAAATTATCATCATCAAATAAGTCTTAGAACCATGCGTTTACGTAATAACAACTAATAATATCCTTATGTTTTAAGACGATCAAATGCACAATTAGAGATAGCCCTTATCACTTTGTAATACTTAATTTAAGTCAAAAGGTTTTTGTTTATTATTAGACATAAATGTGAAGGCTATCCATCGTCGCGTTAATTTTACAAAGAATATTTATTAGTGAAAAAAGTGACTGATGAAATTTTACTAATGAGAATAATATGCGTAAGATTAGTAAAAATGGGGTTAAATTCAAAGCAATGGCTCATTCCAATACTTCTAAGTTTAATTTTTCTTGTCATGTAAATAAATATGGTTTTGAATTTTGTGTGATGATTAATTTTCATTATTAGCATGAAAGCTTAAAGGTACGCAGCTAAAGGCGATTATAACCTATGGATGATTTGTCCAAGCACGTGCAAAACATAACGAAGTAACAAAATTATTTAAAAGCATGCTACCGAATAGAACATTGCTTTTCAACGAGCATATTTTTGCACAAATAAAAATGTAATAAACTGAATAGAACATTGCTTGGAACTGACAAAGGGGGTATTTGTAAAGTTTTTGACCAAAATACAATAAATATACTAGAATGTAGAAACTTTTGAAGGAAAGATAAGTAGTGTCTCCTCAGAAAGAATAAAAGTTTGAAGGAAAAATTCAAACCACCTAACAAATCATCCATGTACCTGAAAAACACTCACGGGAGAAACACATGATAAGAAAGAAATATAAAAAACAATCACGTACTTTTTGCGGCGACATTCCTGTGTTCATTTTACTATCAAGAATTGCTAACAAGGTACACCAAAAAATAGAGGGGATTGTACAATTGGGATTCTTAACTCTGATACATATTTTAATGGCAAGTTTGATGGATGTAATTGGATTGTAAGAATCGTGTTGCTTTACATATAAAGGATGTGAGTTTGGGTTGTGTTGTTTCACATGTAAACGGCTTGAATTTTGATAGATACATGTGAAGTACTGTGTGCATAAATAGAGACCTTTTAGAAAAAAAAAAAAAAAAAAAGGGTTCTGTTTTGGGAATTCAAAAGGTGCAAATGGCGAAAGGCGTTAGAAGAGAAACATTCCAAAAACACCCTCTTAAGCTTCACATTTTTACATAAATAAGATATGCAACCACAACCTGTCATGTGATTAGCCTAGACCATAATAGTATGACAACAAATTGAAATTAGTCCATCTATTTTTATATACAATTAGCCTCACCTCATCATGCAAAATTTACTGTCCATAATGTTTCCGAATTGTAGGGCACTTGCAAGATTGAGGCCCTCCAAATTGGCAATGGCTGGGGAAAAAGCTACACATGTGAACAATTTAAAGAACTGGCCAATTTGAGATTCCTTCAAATGGAGTTTGGGGGTCTCACTGGAGATTTCCAAAACCTACTTCCTAATTTAAGATGGCTTCAGTGGCAAACTCCTTGGAATTTCGCAGCAGCTAATTTTCAACCAAAGAAATTAGTGGTGCTCGATTTGTCTGGGAGTGGGATTTCGGATGACTGGAGAGGATGGGGTCCACTCAAGGTAAGATGTAGAGAAAGCATACCTTATAAAATAATAATGTGTTGTCGAAGGTCCAATAGGACCAAGTTCTCTTTTCTTCTTTCGAAAAGAAACATTTATACGATGGTGACGTAGCCAAACGCTACTGCTTAAGAAACATTTAAGTAAAACAAACATGAAGTAGTGGGGCATCAGAGCAATGATAGAATGGAACCGAGCTATGAGACATTTATATAGTTTTTAGAAAGTCTAAATAAAAGGAGTACTGGCGCATGTGTATTTTTTACGAATTTTTAAAAGTCTAAAATTGAACAAGGAGTAGTGGAAAATCACACGTTGCAGTGGTCCAATCTCATTGAGGTATCCTCTCTTTCTTTCAGATGGCAGCCAAGCTCAAAGTTCTCAACCTTTCAAAATGTCATTACTTAAGAAGAACTCCTGACGTTTCTGCTTTCAAAAGCTTGGAGATTTTGAATCTGGAAGATTGTGGGAATCTAGAAGAGATCCATCCTTCTCTCGAAGACATCGGGACCCTCCTCTCTTTGAACGTCAGGAGATGTCGTAGACTGAAGGAGATACCGGCAGGAGTTGGTAGAATGGAAGAATTGAGGGAGCTTTTCTTAGATGGTACTGCTATACAAGAGATTCATATTTCAAGAGGTTGTTTGATGAAGCTGGAGACTCTAAGTGCCTCATGGTGTAAACGACTTGCTCAACTTCCAGAACTGATGGGCCCCATTGTATCGCTAACTCAGCTGAACTTATCTATTTCAGGGATTAAAAAATTACCAGAATCCATGGGTTCTCTTATATCGTTAACTCTACTGGATCTATCTCAGACAAGGATTAAAAGGTTACCTAAATCTATTGGTTCTTTGAAGGAGCTCGTGACTCTTGATCTCTCTGATTGTGCATCGCTAGTTCGCCTACCTAGCTCCACAGGCCATCTAGCATATCTACAGTGCTTGTTGCTACGAGGATGCCTCTCGTTGACAGAAATTCCCGATTCAATCGGAAAGTTGGCATCATTAACTAAGTTGAATTTAAGATGGACATCAATTACGGAATTACCAGAAAGCATTGGGAATTTGCAGAATCTGAGGATCTTGGACATTCGTGACACTCGCATAACGAAATTGCCTGGTGCCATCGGAATGAGAGAAGGCTTGTTGGCTTGAGCTAGTGTTGTTCCTGCAGTTGAACGATCCACAATGACAATGGAGACAACGCCTCCAGCATCTTAACAGAATCGCCTAGTGCAGTCGCAATGTTGGCTCATTTTGTGTTATAATTTCAGGCCTAGTTCACCCTAAGATCGCCGTGCTTTCTCTTCTTTGTCAGGTGTGTTTTTTCACTGCAAACTTAGGTGGAAAACGAATGTTGCGAACGCTATATATGGACCGTGTCGTGAGGCACTAACTCTGTCACTTCGACTGAGTATAATATTTTCCAAGTGGTTCGCGAGTGAGATTGAGATTGAGATTGAATGATGCATTTGCATCTCTTATTTGATGGAGTGGAATTGGTCAATTCTATGATATTGCCTAAACGGATCACGAGATGGGAGTGGAATATTGTGATGTTGTATGCTCGTACATGTATTATTTAATTATTCATCAGTTGGAATCTTCTTTACATTAGTCTTACTTTGGTTTTTCATCTATATAAATAGAATTGTTATACATAGAGAGCGCTCTACACCATCTGCCATTGGATTGAGGAGGATGATTTTGATCATGAACTGTGATATTGCAAATTCTTTATTCTCTATTATATTCAGTTTGTAGATTATTCTAGCGACAGACCAGAACATTTGACTATTCGGTATTCACTCAATCGAATCAAATATATATAACGAAATGTCAAAAAGTTCATATCATGTTATGTTAGTGTCGTGGACAAGCGATCGAACATAAAATAGACTAAACAAGGAAATAGATCGGACACCAAATTTATGTTGTTCGGTTGGTGTAACCTAAGTTCATAGAAAGAGCGACAAAAGATTCTACTATAAATCAAGTGATACAATAGTTATTACAATCAAACTTGAATCACTCAAACACATTTTCAGTGTTTCTCAGCTTTCAATTACACCCAATAACTAACACAGCATTTACCTTCACAAATTCTGATGAAATAATATCTCAATCTCATAAAGAATTCACAAATCTATCACAAGGTTTATTGGCTTCAACACTTTCGGATTACTCCAGTGTGCAATTCACAAAGAAGTTGCCTCTTAAACACTCTTTACAATGAAGACGCTTCTTATAGATAGACAAGACTTTGATTCAAAATAGGAAATTTCTTTTAGGAATCCTATTTAAACTAGAAAACCACTCAAATAGGAAACCCACTTGAATTAGGTTAGTTTCATTTTTGGGCTCAAACTCGATACATAGTTTCTAAATTATTTTTCACCTAGATAGGCAAGCTTCTATACCCACATGAACAGTGTCCCGTCACCACGGGCAAGACCGGCTGTGCACCCAATCCTCACCGAGAAGTGCCTGTTGACACCTAATTTTTGCCTATCCGTTTTAGGTTAATTACATATAAAATTAGGGGTTAATTTTTAACCCCTAAACAAAAAATATTTTCATTAAATTGCATGGCATATAGACATTAGGTGCATTTGCATTAATGGGGTCTATTAGGCATATTTTTCTTTAAAAAAATTCAAAAAAATTCAAAAAAAATCCGGGCCGGTCCGACCCGGTTCAAGTGAATCAGATCAGCCCGGCCGGGTCTTATTCCCCTTTCCCTTTTCTCGCGCTGGCCGGCCCAGCCCCTCTCCCCTTTAGCCCGGCCCGGTCCACCTCCTTTTTCCTTCGCATTTTCTCTGCAAAGAAGCAGAGGGGAGAGCTGATACGGGGGAGCAAAACGGAACGCGTTGCAGAGGGAGACGTCGCGCAGCGGCAGGGGACGTCGTGCGATGCCGACAATGTCAGAAGTGTAGCCAATGGTCCCGAAGAAAAAGGAGCGACGTCCAGGGATAAAGGGGGGGAGAGTGCTTGAACAAGGAACAGAGAGAGAGAGTTTGAGAAGAGAACGAGGTGGAAAAAGAGAGATCTTGAGGGCGAGAAGAGAGACCGAGAGCCTCGCCCACTTGCCGGAGGGCCGTCCGAGTCGCCGCTGAGCCTCCAGCCGTCATACCTCGCCCCGGCCAGCCGTGAACCAGGTGGGTCTTCTTCGTTTTCCCCTGTTTTGGTCCCTCTCCTGCCTCTCGGGTGCCGGGCACACCGAATCTATTCGGTGATCGGCCGGCCCCACCTAAGGAGGATAACGCTTGTTTTACGTTCAAAGAAGTGTTCTTAAACGTTGTATGTCGAAGAGAACTCATGAACCGTGTCCAAATCGACCCTGTAGCTCCCATCTTTAGTCGCCTACTACCTGTTCGATGAAACGTCCCAATGAATCAACGTAGGTTTAAAACGCCGCGATGATTTTCAGTGTTTTCTTACGAACTAAGACGAATTTGTTACGAAATATGGCCGTTTAGACCTTTAAATATCACGTTTGAGTCAAAGAATCACACTGAATCTCAGTCTTAAGCCCTTGTTTGAACTAGCACATCACATGTTCGGGGAAATGTCTAAATGGAGGTCCGAATCACATTTTTTTGGAATCAGTGCTTGGAACTCGATTTTTATGCTTGATTAGTTCTCATATATGTCGAATGGTTTCTGACTTTGTATTTTTTTCGTTGTGATTTCTTTCGGTTTTGTGGCATATCTCTCGTCGTTCGAGTCGGCCATGGACGAGACATTCGCTAGAGATCTATTCCCCACGCCGGCGTCGCCCGCGGTCTGATGCCGCTACCGTCGGTTCACTATCCCCATTTCATATGGGTGTATGTCTGTTTGTTTGCGTTTTAGCACGTATTGTTGCCGTGGGAAATCTAGTGATCGAAAAGTGAAAAAATGGTCATCAAAGTTGGCGTTTTGGTGGCTGGTGGTGCTGGATTAAGGATGGTGGTTCGGTGATGGTGTTGTCGTGATTCTGGTCGGAGCAGATTCGACGTTGGTGCCAGTCGAGGAGGCCAGTTTTGGTTCGGTGTGGCGGTCGCCGGTGAACCACTGAGAAGAAGACGTTCTCAGTGGGAGTTCTGGGGAAGAAGACGTCCTGGAGATGAAGACGTCCAGAAGGGGAAGAAATACAGATAAAAAGTACAAAGAAAAAATAGAAAAAGAAAAAGAAACCAAAAAAAAAAAGAAAAAAGAAAAGAGGAAAAAAAATTAGAAAAGAAATAGGAAAAGGGGAGTCCTGGGCGGGTGGGAGAGCCGGGTCAGGTAATCGGGTAGATCGGGTCAGGGACCCGGTCCGGAGTTCTTATTTTATTAATAAAAATATCAAAATATTTAAAAAAAAATAAAAAAAATTCAAAAAAAAATCGAAAATGTTTAAAAACTCAAAAAATATTAAAAAGTCTGAAAAAATAAAAAAACATTAAAATTTCAGAAAATTAAAAAATCCCAAAAAATTCAAAAAATTAGGAAATGTTTAGAAATCAGTTTTTGGCTTTATTTCACTAGATATTAGTGTTTATTTCATTCTAGACTTAGTTTAAAACTTATAAAAATTGAGAAAACCCTTTAAAAATTTTCCAAAAATTTGAATAAGCTATTAGGACTTTACTTTAAGGCTTTTGATTGCCTTTTCTTTTTTAGAGACAATACTAGGTCACTGGTTGTCTATTTTCTTTATGATTATTTGATTGCGCACATTTAATATATTGGTTGTTATTTTCTATTTTTAGAACAATTAGGTAGAATCTTAAGCTTTTTCGATAGGCTGCCCGGTACATTGGTTTGCGAACGTTGAAGTTTAGGTACCGAAAAGGCATTAGTTAAATCGCTAGTGTAATCAAGTCTCCGATCTTTAGAATCTCTTATTTTTCCACATATCGAGACAACACTCCCACATCTCGATTAGGGTTTCTAGCCAACCCTTGACTATGGCTAGTGGCGACTCCAATTGAATGCTTAGTTTAGATAATTCTCATTGCATGAGGTATGAGGCTTGAGAGTGTCTCGGTCCTTCGATTAATGAACCATTTGGTTTGTTTATCAAACGAATCGATTAATGTTCACATCCATCGACAAATACCTCCAAACCTCACCCGTCAAATATTTATTCCCCCCGATTGGGATGGGTAGGTTGCGCCGGTTTGGCGACTTCGTTGGTGACTTAAGGATTTAGGCCTAATATAACTTTATTGTTTGTTAATTAATTTGGTCTTATGGCAGCGCATCGTGAAGGCTAAGGTAAGCCCGCTAATGTTGTGTTAAATGGTTTTGTAGGTTGGGAGTTATAAGGGGTGGAGTGTTTGTTGACATGTTTGTTTGCAGATTGGTGTAAGGGGTGTATGTGTATGTGAATGAAAATAGAAGTGCTGTTTTGATACCAATTGTTGCGTATGTTTTTACCTGCTTTAGCACTACACCTCACACACACAACCCGCGATCTAAAACCCTGATCGCCTTAGGAAACCCATTGGAGGTGCCAAAAGTGTGAAAACCGTGCGGGGAAGGACCCATGACTATCCCCTTTTGGTTCCGCCCATTTTCAAATAGTGATAAAGAGGACTGTCAAACGCAAGTGCGGAGTGGGGAAAACTCTTTTGACCTATTTGGGATGGAGACCGTAAGCCTTTAGAATCCCACCTTTAGTGAACCTCACAAGCGCATCCGAGTGTCTTTGTGATTTGAAAAAACGATCGTCACTCACTGTAAGTATGATTTATCTCATTATTGGTTCACTTTGAATTGAAATTTTATTTTCGCAAAATCCATGGAAATCAATTGAATGCCCAACATGATTTAGGCCCATAATAAGAAAATTCCTACATGCAACGTTGGCTAATATTTCTCATCTGACCCCGTAGAACAATTGGTTTGTTGGAATTTTCAATTGTGGGTCTAAGATCAATTTTTGTCACTAAATTTTTCAAAGTCAACGTTGCCATTTGAGATGTCGAATTGAAATTATATTGGATGTTTGGATCTTTCAAAATTGAAATTTTTTCAAAAGTAGATTCACATTTTAATGGGTGAACTTTTCAAAATTAAAGTCACAAATTTGTAGGAAAATTTCTCGAACTTAAATGATTGAAACTAATTTGGTTTGCAAAATCTGAATGGGCGTTTGATTGATAAACCATGGAATGATCTTTCAATGATGCTTTCTCTTACAAGTGAAACGGTGGCAAAACACTTAACCCTCGTAAGCGGGGATTCGGGGGCGAAGTGTTTTTGCCTCGCTTTCATTACAAGGGACGGCCTCAATGAGAGATCAATTTTTTCATTCCCATACTGACATTGTCTTCCTTTTGCAGGTTATGCATAACAGTCGTTCCTTGAAATTCTCTTGCTTAGTCATGCGAGGGAGTGGACTTCGAAGCTAGGACGAGAATTATTACTGCATTCCTCTATGCAAGAGTCTTTTGTACTATGTTCTTGTCTTTATTTTTAGTAGAAACCATGTT